AGTGCATTTGAAAATTACGGTGCTTAACAGACACAGTAATTTAAAAAAGTAACTTTCTAACAATGAATACGGATATTGTATATTTCCCTAGCATAAGTATTAAACCTGGACATTGGTAGACTGTAATTTCATTTTAATTAGTTTAATAAATGTATCTAAATGGTTTCAAGTTATTTCGACAAGATCAGTGCTTTCCCAAGAAGAATTGTGGTGTGAGTGCAGCAGCAATGATCTGTTCAGCTCCTCTAACGACAAACTTGAGTTCATTATCACTAAGTGTCGTTCTATACATTTGAGTAAATACAAAAACATATGCACAACAAACAGTTATGTCACACCTGACTGCGGTTTCTCAGATCTGTCAACTTTTGCTGACGAGTTTTTTGAATCCGCTACTTGGATTCTGGGTACCTCCTTGTCTATAGTCTATGGAGATTTGAATTCTTTTGATTGCAGTTTCTTTGTATTATTGGGTCATAAGAATATGGTTAACGTTTTTACTCGTCTTGATAACGCATTAGATTTAGTGTTTACAAATGACTGACATACATGAAGCCTGTAAACGAACTCCGCTGCTAAATTCTGATCACTCTATTGTTATCGTTTTGCCCCATAAATATGGTAAGTTGGATAAGAAGTCTTTCGGACACCTTCCCAAGAAAGTCTAGTACGGATGTTATGCACAGAAGAATATACCACATTTGAGAAGCGTGGTCAGAGAAACAGATTGAGATATATTTGTTGATGAAGTTTTAGATAACATTATCATTAACATCACGAGCTACTTCAAATTTTGTCTTTGCATATGCCTCCTTGCTGAAAAACCCTTCATGAGATTTGACAAACTTTCCTCTCCTCATCTCAAGAGGGTTTGGAGAAAAAGGGGAAGGTTGTATAAAGTGAGGAATCACCCTGCGGTTAAAAGACCTAACTATCTGAAATAAAACGTCTAAATATTATGTACAACCAGAAGTTTCTATCGTGTAAGAACTCTTCCAATATATGGGAATTATTCGAAGAGCTTACTAGTGGAAAACATAACAAATGAAGCTTATTCTGATGTCTGCACGTCAAACCAGTCATTTGTACGTCAGCAAGCTAATTTCATCCATACAAGAAAGGATAGTTGTTTTCCTGGTTTTAATGCAATGACGTTTGTCGATGTCTGAAGTCATTGAATCCATCCAAAAGCCTAGTTCTTGATGGCGGTTTTAGTATTATATTTAGTAAATGTACAGATATTTTCTTCTCTGAAACCACATCTTGTCTTTTCCTATGATGAAATGGGTATATTGGGTTTTTTAAATATATAGATGCTTACCATCTCCGAAGCTATTCGACTTCATTGTGTTGAAGGCTAATGTCAACTTACTAGATACTTAGAGGTTGAGACTGAAGTTAGTTGAGGTGACGCTAATGTATCTATTCTTCATCTTGTTGCAAATCGTGACTACACTCATATTATGGTTGTAGTTTGTTTTTCTTTTAACTGATAAATGTTGCACATTTGTGCTGGTTTTCTTGCTACTGTTAGCATCAATATTTCAGTTTCTTTGACTCACTTACTGCTGGTCTACTTTCATTGTACTGATGCCAACTTTCGGAAATTGAATAGATTCATTATTGTGCTGCAAATAAGTTTGTTACGGTCATTTTTCTGATTTGTTTGCAGATGTTCAATCTCATTGTTACTAATATACTGACTCATCCAGACAAACGTTTTGACCTAAGATAATTGTTTGTCATATAGAAACAACTTTTTATTTGTTCTATTATTCTTCTCTGCCTTGTCATCTATCATCTTGCAACCTCAATAAAATAAGTCAGTTTATTTTGTGTTCTGTCCTTGATATACAAGCAGATATTTTTGTGAGTATATTAGTAGTATGAGTTGTTAAATGCTATTTAGATGTTCTGTATCCACACACCAATCATAGATATGACTTTGCTAGTTAAGAACAATTTTTTAAATGTGCTGGAAAGATGTGAGATTAGCTTTCATATTTACATTTTGTGGACAGAAAATACAAGAGAGGCACTCTGCTTAATTCGCGGGATACGTAGAATTTCGCACTCGGCGTTCTGTTCCGCTCTAAATGTATGATCCTGTTTCTTTTACGTAAAGTGTAGATATTTACAGTAGCACTGGAAAAATGCCTCTTTTGGCGAATTAAAGGAGATCATCTTATAAGTTACTACATAAACATTTGAAATAGAAAAACAAAGTTGTATTTCTTAATCATACTCACATAATTTTTACGTCATGGTTAAACCAGATGAGACTGTCAAAGGAAGCCAAAGAGTTTAAGTAGCAGAAGTGGACAATAGAATTTAATAGGAATTGAAACCAATAACTGATGGAGTAGTACAGTTTTACGTGCTTTAAATGACACACAAAACACTCGTTTATTCACACTAAGAAACGTAATTGAAATGCTCGCTTCGAAGATAACTGCAGATAGCACTTTGAAAGTTACTGAATTTTTATTTCCTATGATGTGTGCAGTTTTGTTTTTTTTCAGCAAATTCTGCCAATCTCATTTGAAATGTAGTTGCTTTTATTGAACACTAATTTATGAAAACATGAATTTTGTTCAATTTGAATTGATTGAAGACTGCTTCTGATAACTGACTTCTTCTCTATTAAGTAAAGTAACATGAAATTCCCGTGAATCTAATTTCATTGGTTAGTGTTTTATAGCCCTATTGATTTTGAGATCACTTCATTGTAGGGAATCAAGTATAGACATCTGTCGAAAATCTGTTTGTTGGACTTTAATATATAGCTTGCCTTTATCGTTCTTTTGCAACTTAAACATTTGACGCTGAACCACCTGGTTTATAGAAAAGTGGCTTAATGGAAATGCAAATTTTATTTAGTAAGGGGAAAATTTTCATTTTAGACATACAGAAAATAAATTGGTAGAGAAACATTACTGTTTAGTTGGTTTCTTCTGATTTGGTTTACACTAATATATAGGATTATTAAACAAAGCATGAACCTTGGCTACCAAAACTTTCCAACTAAATATTATATATGAAATGGACCCTTTTTGAAGTGTTTTCAACCCGTCAATCAATGTACACGTTCACAGTGAAATTAAGAAAAAATACGCATTGTGGATGACTATGCAGTTATTTCTTTCTATATGTTAAAATTGTGATCCAGTCATGTACTGGTTATTGAATAATTGATACTTTGCAGATGAGAATTACTCAGAAGAATAAATAAATCTGCCAAATGTTCAGTTTTATTGAAGATCACGTTCACGTATTGTTCACATGATGCTAGATAAGATTACAAAAAGTGGTGGTAGGGACACAAGAAAGTTACGAAACCAATAAAGATATCAAAATAATTAAAAAAACGGAATTTAATTAGGTGTGAACTGTTCTTGATGTAAGGTAGGTTAGTTAAGAGTCTAATAATTGGCAAATGAAAGAGTGAAGGAGGATCGTAATGTTAGTGATAACGGCGAGGTAATTACCAGAAATTAAGGAGAAAAGGGTTAAGATCAAATAGACTCCGATAATGAACAAATTGAGTTCTCTCTCCTCAGCAGCAATCAAGTGGGATGACATATCAATTTTTCATCCCATGTAACCTTTTTATTAGCCTATCATTGTATTTGAGAATCAGATGGATCTGCTAAGAAGATATAGCTGACAATGACGTAAAGACTCGAACGACCACTCATTCAAAATGTAAAGTCTTGTAGATTTGTTGAGAAAAATGTGAGGCCTCAATAACAATTTAGAATAAATCAAGAACAAAGACATCTGCAGAATAGGATGAGCGCAATTCGTTTCACGGCCTTTCATCAGCTGCAAATAGCCTACAACTGAAATAAAATATTAGCGCTAATAATAACATAACATACTTTAAATATGAAGAAGTAGATGAAGAGCCAAAACTAAGGATTAACGATAAGGTGGGAGGTTGAGGAAATACAGGATAAATCACCACAAATCTTAGTCGAAATCAGCGGCAGTTTGTATCTGATAAGATAGAAAAATTGGAGCTGTTCAAAAGAGGGAACAGCAAACAGGCAGGAGTGTGAAAGAAGGGGTTATCAAAGAGCTAGTTGGTAATTTAAGTATGTGAAAAACTAGGAAACGTTACGCTGACTGATTAACAGTGATTAGGTATTTAATAAAGAGAGGATACCCTGGTAAGTGTATGTGTTCTGTTCATAATTCAAAGTCGATCCTGGTTTGATTGAGTCGATGAACAGACAACAAGGGTACCTGGAGAGGAATTTTGATATTGAAATCAGATGTTTATTACCACGAAAGTACTCTCTATTACTTCGTTCCTTTTTAATTCACATCTATCAAGAGAAAATCAACCGAAGTGTATAAATACAGTACATTTTTTTTCTAAGAGAGGTTGTAAACATAAGGTAGCTTATATGGCAGTTTATTCTAGTACATTTTTATGCAGCATCCCACTTCTCTGTTTATCTTTATGGAGTATTACTAGAATACTTTTCTAGGATTATCAACTAAAATCTAACGTAAAGAAGAGAAGAAATATTCTTGTGATTAAACCATGGAATTCACATCTAAACGAGATTTTAACATTGATTCATTCACTGATTGTTTTGCATAGTTGTCTTGTGAGGTAGGGAAAGGTAAAAGCTGAGAAAAACGTTTGGTGATCCAAGTCAACTTTGGACAGGTTAGCAGTTGAGACGTTTAGCTTCCTCAGTAGAACACTGAGCTAATAAATTGATGGCCACTGGCAAGAAACCTCACCTAATCAAGGTTTCTCTTGAACTTCATGTACTGTCTCCATGAGTAAATACTCACTTGTCAACCAGTTTTATCTCATTTAGTCTAGTGGCTGAATATTGTCTCACGAGAATGTGGTTCGTAATATTACCACAAAACTATTAGTAAACGTTCTATTGCACATGAATTGTTTTTATCGCTAGTAGTTTTTTCTTTATGAACTATGTAAATAATCTTCTTACACTTTATTTGAACCCCACTCTTAGTTCGAACTGCTATTCTGTGTCCAAAATGAAAATGATCCGGTTATTCAGTTATTGCAATCACTGTGTGAGCTATATCCTCATGTAAATGTCCGATTATTTATTGGTAAGTTTCTGCTAATTTTTTTACTTTTCAACCGTTTTACTTTTTTGTATTTTTTGAGCACTAATTGCCATACACTAGCAATAATAATCTATACGTTAGTTAGTGCTGTTGAGGACATCATGCCTGGTCATCATAAATCCTCAGCAATCAAATATGAGAACTGACAGCACAAAATAAATTTCATCTTCATATTGAGTCATTAATCTTCTTTCATTAACCAAGAGTTTTGACCGTTTTTTATGCGAGTAGGAATCGATTAAAGTGGTTCATTACAAAACTGGGTGGTAATATTTGTGTAAAACTTTCAGACAAATGAATTTTTCATAAAAACAAAAAATACGGTTGACTAATTACAGGGAAAAAGTTTTGACTAAGTAAGTGATAGTATATATATCACATGGCTTTGCTATTTAATGTTTTGAGCTCTGATTTCAATTCATGTTAGGATAGATGAATTTAGAAGATTGGTCTTGAGCTTTGAGTGAAACGGAACATATATCTTTGCACATAATACTACTAAATTTAATCATTTGTAGTGAAGGAGGATTTATTTGTTTGAATAATAATTTTGTTTAAATAAGACATAAAGGTCGCATGTTATACAAACAAGGCAAACTAAATAAATTAACAGTCATCACTATCATTCTTTATTTTACTGAAAGTACTTGAGTTCAGTTATGCGTAACTGCATGACATCATTAGTATTCATGCTTATATTTCGTCTTGGCGTTTCTAGATCATTTATATGTTCTGAAAGTAAAGGTATCACTTTCTAGAACATTGACATAAAAGATGTGAAAGATTCTGATAAAGAAACACCTATACGGTTAACTTAGTATGGAATTCAGGATTGACTGCTTACCACTATAAACGGTTTCATTTACATTTAACTGGACCATTAACTAGCACAAGTAACTTCACTCCAAACTCAATTTAAATCTATGACTAGACACAACAAAACTTCTGGTAAACTTTAAAATTTTAAATCTCATTGTCAAATGAAGTAATACTACACCAGTGGACATATATTTAATGAATGACAACTATTATTGCTTACTAATTAATGATAACTTATGCCCCTATAATTTGTTATGATATGTGTAGTGTGATACAGTTCAATGACCATTTTCCGTCTCGTATACCAGGACATGAACCATGGTAAGAGTGAAGACTGGTGATTTTTTCTAGTTACTGAAACTATTTACCATAGAATTAGATTCAAATCTCTGGTACTTTGTATAAAACATAAAGTTTTCTACACATTAGTCCTTGGTTTGTGAAATTGACGTGACAGTTGCTTGACCAAAATGCATAGGTTTACGGTTTGCAGAACTATCTTTCGAAAACTTTCACATGATTCAGTATTATAACATTATGACTTCCAGTTTCTTGCTTAAATACAACTGACTGAAGTCCGACAATGTGCAGTAAATTAATTTCACTCATTCTTTTCTCTAATTATTAGATTAGATTTGCATATTGTCGTGTGAACCATCTACAGTTGATGAAGTCACATAACTTCATCAGCCAAGGATGGAAATGTATTACGTAAGATTAATATGGTCTCATTTAGTTTTTAGCAATAACGTCATTTATTAAATTAAACAGTAGGTTAAAGTGCATTTCCAGCTACCCCTATTTAACCGTAAGTTCGTTAAAATAGTTTCCCCAATAGTGTTACATAATGTTGTTATTTTTGCGTATTTTAATTTAAGCAGTGTCTTTTGATGTATCAGTTTAGATTTCTTTAGAATAATGTTTAGTTTGCACTTAGTGACTACTATTTGTAAGTCTGGCCTTCAGTGATTAGTACACTTTAATAATAATGTTTGCATTGCTAATCTAGAAGTGAAGTATTTCACAAAACTGTAAACTCCAAGAATTTCTTTTTTTCTTAGACTATCTGAGTAACCTGTTTCATTGACCTAAGAGGCAAATGCTCACTTTTAATAGTTTTGTGGTCGCTGCTCTTGTTCATTACAGATTAAGTGATCAAAGTATCCAGTTCTACAGCTACCACAATAAGTGATTCACCTTCATAACTGTTATACTTTTTTAGCTGTAAACAGATTTAATACGACTGATCATCATTAAGGAGAATGTGTTCACTTTTCACAATCATTGGTATTTTAACTTGCAAAAAATTCTTCCAGCTGCACAAACACATTTTTGTCATACCTCAGTACTGTTTTACATTAAGAATATCATAACACTGCTTTACGTGCAAAGCTGAAGCAATAAAGTTTTCAGTAATATTAAATCTTATCCTTAAAATGCATAAAATTCAAAACAGGTGAACAGTCACGAGCAGAAAGTTATTACCTTATTCTAAAGAAGAACAAATAAAAATTCCTTAGGATTCCTGAAGTAAAGCTATCGGCCATTTAAAATAATTAGTTTCTATAGAAGTCCGTTTTTACTGACTAAGTAAGTAATTCCAAGCAGTATGAAGATGTAGGGGCCCTAGGGATGATAGGTATCAATGATTAGAGTCTCTTGTTGGCATAAATCTGATCATATTAGCTCTAAAGTATCCATTCACTTAGGTCTTCGAATTTTAGAACATCTTAAATATTTGCCTCTTCTCCCGTAAACATCTACGTATTTTCATGTCTTTCTTTTCTTGTTCATTTCCTCAGTGTATCAATTAGAACCAGTGCACTTTTCTGCCAGTTTTTACTCGTTAGCTTCTATGTATTTTTGTTTAATTTTAGCCGTACAACATCAAAAATGTTGCATGTTATGAGATCGCATTACATTCTCAGTCCGAAGAATTTTATTGCTCTTGAGGTCTAAACTGGTTGAAATGTTACAATTTGTAATGATCAAGTTGTTTGAGAACCTGTGTCACAAGAGAGGACCTGGTGAGACCATAATATCTCAGCGACTAAAGTTCTGATCACAGTTTGACATGATCAGGTTTCGATGTCTAAGAAGTCATAAACTTCTTTGAATTTTCGAATACGCTTGGCTGATTAGAGCCAAAGAAAGTGATTCTTAACGTAACGGCTTTCGTATGATTTTGCAACAGTCAAAAATGCAGAATAGTTCAAAGTATGGAATTATAGTGCAGAATGGATAATATTTCTCGTGTTCATTTAGAAATCGTGTAATGACTATTGGGTCCTGTAGTGCGAAAATTACTTGCATCAAATGAATGGTGTACAACGGTGGCAAGAAAAGTGAAGTTAAAAAGATGGATTCGAGTTGAAACCAAAGGGGTGACATCGAATATTAGAGTGAATTAATTAGAAAATGTATAGTGATCTAAATATACATCAGAAAGGCTACATACATAAGGCCGAATGTTATTTCTTTCTGAATAAAGCACCATATGACCTGCAAACTGTGGTACTTTGATTCTATCGCTGTTTGTATGCTAGATTTAATTTTCTTGTTTATGTGATACAACTATTGAATAAATGTTGCTCAGCTTCGGTAGAGAAAGGAAGTCTGTAAATCAGGTGTTGAAACTGCGTCGACTGACTTATTTTGAAAACGTCGATTAACTGCTTATCAAGATATGCGGAGAAATATTGGAAGTTTAATCTAAAAATGACCAATTCAAAATGTGAGACTTATCTATGAACTCGCTAATTGTTAGTCGTTATGTATATAAATAAGGTTATGTTGCTTGAACTGTACCATAAAGTTGTTAGCAACCAATGGTAGATGACTCAATTTATCGTGAATTAGAATAGAGCACAGTGGTATGAGTATGTTCGTTCTTTATCTGTTTCAAAATACTGAAGGTTCTTACTGAAAGTTGTTTGTCTGTTCAATGTTTGCATTTTTTCGCAGGTTCTTCTGCGGTATATATATGTATATAATTATTATTATCATGATATACTGCTCTCTCTCTCTCTCTCTCTATATATATATATATATATATATATATATATATATATATATAAAGGTTGTTGTTGATTGTTTTTTATGCTGTTGCAGACCAATGCAACTTCAACTCATGGATTATTTTACCGAATTCTGCATTTTATTGCTTGTTTTTCATATAGTTTGGACCATTATATCGAAGTTGTCAAGACCGTATACTTAACTTCGTTGAGACTTTAGCTAAACGAAAGTTTAAACCCCTTTTTGCATGTTCAAAAACATTTTTTCCACTCTTTACAATTTGTCCTCACTTGAAATCCTTCTTGGTAATCTTTATCTCATTTTAGTCTCAAGGGAGGTGTGAAAATGTATTATTCCTTCTTGTTATCCGTATATTTTCCAAATATTGTATTATGTTAATTTATTTACCTTACCCCACCCTATTTTCACCCCTCATATAAAATGCCTTGACGAGTAAATGTGTAACCACATTGCTTGAAATGTGTTGCGCAAATACATCGCATTTCTCAGATAACCTCCATCATACATTACATTATAAAAGACTATACGTTAGTTTCATAATTTTATTTGAATATACTGAAGAAATTGCCAATGAACAGTACATGTAAGGGTTGACTTATGCATTTTAAATGCACAGGTAGTATCAGAAGAAAAGAAGCTTTTCTAAGCGCCTACATGAAGGAATTAAATTGATGAAAACATTTGTGTTGACTCATAACTATAAGTTTGTTAAATTTTGCTCATTTGACTTTTATAAGGTTTCGAAAAGTATATGAACCGTACAAAATAATGTATGGCTTAAATAGACTTCGGTGTATAACAGATATGTATATACCCGGTGGGTACTGCACATGATAAATAAGAAGCTATTTCCTAGTCAACATGTACAAGACTCAGACTTTGGTAAAATTTACTTAAAAATCTATTAGAATATTAGTCATTAGGGATTTCAAAGCACTGTGAGTGCCAACAATGCTAAGGTTTTGTCCAACAAGTTTGCTTCTTCTGTGAAATATGTTAATTATGTATGGTCAAACTAACGTCAAAGTAAGCTTACCAATGCCTTGATTCATTTCATTTCACGAATAAATTGATTGTTAGTTCTCATCTAATGATGGTAGCTTGAAACTAATTTAACTGTGAAT